CAGCAGGAGCTAAGGAAGTCAGCCTGACTTCCAGTTTTAATTGGAGGAAGACTGACTGGAAATACTGGCTTTCTGATGCAGAGTAAACTGAGTTTACATATGTACTGAGTGGCATCCCTGATGATTTTCTCTTCCTCTTCCAGTGGTTTTCAACTTCATTCTTAATGACCGTCGAAAAGGGCCCTTTTGGAATGTGATCATGTGGACATCTCTCTTCTTGGGTCAGGGAGTCATCATTTGCCTTTACAGTCAGGAGTGGTATGCACATCAGTACTGCCCCATAAAAAATGTGAGTGACCTTTGGTTATGAGTAACTGGCTGCACGTGATGAGAAGGGACAGACGGGCAGTCATTGGGGGAAAATGACAGGTCATGAACTCTGGTAGTGAGAAGTGGATGAACAGTGTTCTAATTGTGTGGGAATTAACCACAATGACACAATCTCCAAGTGTGGATTAATAGATTGGAGAACTCCAATACAAACTTGGAGATTATGGAAGCAGTGATATTCAGGCCATCGAGGAAATTAGGGAAAGCTTCTGCTTAAACTTTAATACTTGGTGCATCTGTGTGTGCCCCAATGGCACCATTGTAACTGCACTGTCATTCAGTACTTCCTTTTGGAAGTACTAAATGATGGCGCAGTAACACCCTGTACTGTGCATGTTTATTTTTAGCTGCTATGTTGTCGTAGTAACACGCTATACCAAGGGAGTGCATTGCTGTATGTAGATGTGCCCACTATTGGTCTTTCCAATGCTTACACATCCAGTTTGTATTCAGGATCCAAATTGTTCTTGTTTCTGGACACCAGTGGGTTTACTTCTCTAAACTGCACGCTTTAAGCCTGTTATAGCACTATGTACTAGAATTGTAGTTCTAGAAAAGTGGTGTACTCAATCTCCAAAATGTGGAGAAATAAAAATCTACAGCAGCACTTGGGTTTTAGGCAATTTCATCACCCTAGGTTGTAATGGTAGCGGCAGAAGAGAGTTGAGAATTTAAAGTAAGAACATTTCACAAGCTCTTCAGCCTTGAAATAGTCTTGATGCTCTGCCTAGCCTCACGGGGCTTTGAAGAGGCACGTAAACCTCTTTAGTGAGCCTTGACTAGTGAGTTTGTTTTAGGTGAGCTCAGACTTGACTCTGCTTCTCTATCCCCTAATTAATATATAATCTCTGCAGTTTATTTGCCTCTTTCTGGTAGTGGTGGCTCTGTCGGCTGAAGCTAACTTTGAATATAAAAATGATCAGATTGTACATAAGTACAGATAAATCTCTGGTGGTAACTGTAAGATTGTTTCTGTTACCTGGAAAAACTGTGAATCTCCTCCCTTCCCCAACATCTGGTAGCCAGAGGTGAATATGTATCTCTTGATTTTTATAAGGGAAATGTCAAAAGAGGTTTTGATACATGAGTTAATAAAGTCCATGTCCACAGCTACATGCTTATGACTCTTACTACTTCTTGTTTTATAGCCCACGTTCCTGGACTACATGAAACCACGCTCCTGGACTTGTCGTCATGTTCAGATTTAAAACCATTACACCTGGGCGCTCATCTTACCACCTACTGCTGAAGATCCGATGTGTGCATCGTTTTGGATTTGGATCAGTAACATTCACAGTGAATGCTTTTCAAGGGAAGTTGTGCCTCCTTATTACTGGAGAGAAACTTTTTTTTGTTTTGTTTTTTGGAACTCTCCTGAGGCAGTCCAGTTGAATTGGACTGCAGCAGCCTTTGCAGGTTGCATTCATTGCACACAGTTCCACTCTGAACCATTTTTATGCCAGTCAAACATTTAAGCTGAAGGTTGAAGTCTACTGAAACCTAGCTTTATCCCAGTAGTGCTTCATATTTTTGCCACACTTCTTCAAAGGTTCAGCTGTGGCCTCTAGTAGTCTTTTAGCCATTCCTTTTCATTTCTTTCCTCCTTCAGTAATTTTTCTCATCTACAGCATGTGTGGCTTATGCATGGGGTCTTTTTTCTTTGCTTTTCAGCCTTCTTGTTGCTATGGCACTGATAAGTGGCAGAGTAACAGGATCTGTTTGCATTGTTGTCATGGAAATAGCCAAAGTACTGGTAGATGGCTTTCTGTCTTCTGTCTGGAACTACATTCCACAGTGTCTGATGGCAGAGAATGGGCTAAGAAAGTGTGGTGGGGATGGAAATGGAAACTTTAATGCTGAATGCTTTCTGTAGTTTCAGTGGAGGGTCACTTGTTGCTACTAGCTTTATGAAGAGATCAGCTATGCTCAAAATAGGGTGCAAATGTGTGCACATTTTTATAGCCTTTTTTTTACATTGTTTTTTGTCTTGGAAGTTGGACTTCCTTCAGTCAGTCTATTATGATTCCGTGATGGTGGTGGTTGTGATCTGAAGATCACGTGGCTGAGGAGCAGTTGATTTCCTTGCAGCTTTACTCCCTATAATTCCTAGGCTAGTACGTTCTCCTTTTAAGTACACTTTTATAAACAAAAGAAAAACAAAACAAGCTGCCAAATTTAAAATGAAAGCTTATTACTGTGCATATGCAGTTTTTACTCCAGATACTTAAGCACTTTGAATATTAAGGAGGAGCTGTGGCAATCCATTGATTTCAGTGGAACTCAGTATTGTTTTCCTTATTCAAAGCTCCATTGTGTAAGGTGCCCATTAGTTTTAGTCATTAGGCTGTATCTTGTCAGGATTAACTCCCTGACGCAGTTGAGAATAAAAGATTGAGTCGAATCTTTTGCACAACTAGGAAATTGTCTCCCTTGGAATGTTGCATCAAAAATATCTGGAGTTGAGGGAGTGAAGGGAGCTTTATACTCTGTTTTTGGGGAATAGAGGGGTCGCCCACTTAAAAGAAATGCAACTGATTTGATGGAATTGTTTGAATATCATTCATGACAGCATTTATGTATAGATTTTTTTAATCTAACAAGATTCTTTTTCTCCCCTGCCAAATAAGTGTCTGTCACCTGCAATGCAGAACTTAATTAAAGTGTATTACTTCTGTTTGCTTGGCTCTTATTCTTTAAACCACCACTTAAAATGAAAAAAAAAAAAAAAAAAAAAAAAGAGTTAAGTGAAACATTTGGAGCCAGACACAATTTGTATACCTCTCATTGCAGGAGAGAGCTCTCTAGCAGAGTACCTTTTTAAAATATCGTAACTTCCAATTTTATTGGCATTTCTCAGGTCTTCCCCTGATCTCCACGCCTCCCTCCCCTTCTTTCCCAGTACAGGGTCTCTAGGCATCTATACCAGTACTTGCAACTGAGCGCTCAAGTAAGGGAAAACTGTTAGAGCTCTGTTGGCATCCCAAGTTGAAATTTATTTCACCAGTGTCAACTGGCCTTCTAAGGTGCGTCTCCTAGGCTTTTCAGTGCCTGTCTAAGAAGATTTTTAGTAAAAGGATTCTGTCGGGTAAAACTTGATGACCGTTTCAGACTTGATATATACTGAGTTCTTGTTTGACCTAAAATGTTTTCATGGCTAATTTTGGTGGAAAATTTTAAGTGTATGAATCCAGACCATACAGCTCTGTCCATAGAGCTCGATTTAGAAATGTTACTGGGTTCACTGGCTTTCCATTTCAGCTTCTTACTTTAGTTAACCTTGAATAATTGTAATTAGAAATTGAGACTTTTTTTTTTAACCTCTTAAAGTTGTATGTAGTAAAGGAATTCTAAGAGGTGAGGGCTTTTGTTGTTTAACCTGACATTGTGGGTTTATGTTGTTTTTAATAGCTTTGTGGTCAGGTGCACAATAGGATAGGATGCGTGTCTGGTTATCACTGCACTGCATAAGGGTATGATTGGATTAGGGGCTTGGCTTTCTTGAAGCCTGTTTATGATGCTTGGTAATGTCTGTCAGTGTTCTCCAAAGGGGAAGAGTCATTTTGTTTTCTCTACCTACTAATGGAATTCCAGGTATTACTTTACTATGCCATTTGTGAAGGTTTCCCTAATACTGATTTAATACAGAATCTTGACGTTTTAAATGTGAGTAATAGCAATTAATGGAGCAAAAGAGTTACCAGAGCTCGCAAGCAGAAGTTCTCAGTTCTGTAGAGGGGTGTTTTTTTTCTGGCTTTGGCCTCTACTTTTGCTTGCTGCATTGGAGCCTTTTGAAATGTTAAAGGCACCTGAAAACTCTCCCTTCAGAGCATCAGTGATCAGACTGTGCATGTATTTAACAATGTATTCATTGCTTTCTTGACAGTGGGCTCAACCATTCCATTTGCAAGACTGCATTGGGGACCCGGAACTTCTAGTGTAATGCTTGCACACTGCTCTAACTGGGAGCTAAAAACTATACCTCATTGTGTGGATGGGGATGTCCGCTTGTATGGGCACAAACGCCTAACACTAGCTGCTCCAGGCTAACCACCTCCACTTGAGTTATTACTAGTGATACTGTAATACCCATCTTCAGTGCTGGCAAGTGTAAGGATGTAAAGCTTTCTTCATTGTCACCTGAAAACCTTGGGAGCTCTGGCCAGTGCCACGGCAGGGTACGGCTGGGTGATGCCACAGAACTGAATGTGACAAGATGTCCGTCCCGCTCTTTTGCCTATTATATTGTTTCTAGTTTATCCTCCAGGGAGGAGGGTTTTTTTTAAGTTTCATGCAGGATCTTGATACAGATATCTTCTCTCTCTTCCCCCTCCCTTAGGGAGCCCCCTGCTCTCTGCCTGCCTGGGGGAAGAGATCTTTTTTAGGAACGACACCCACCCTGCTTCTCATCTCTAACTGCTGGACTTCTTTTCTTCCCCCCTCTAAATAAGGATGACCTAAACGAGTTGAAGTCCTGCGACTGCGGAGGGGGAAGCCAGGGTCAGCTTTGAAACAGCGGACCCGGGGTTGGGGCTGTCCGGGTTGTGACGGTGCGCGGGGAGGGCTGGGGCGGGCCACCTGCTGCAGTGTTGCACCGATCCAAATATATTTTGCTATGTACGGAAGCAGCCGCACGTGTCTCGTTTCTTTCCAGCAGGGGGATGAGGGGGAGGGGGAGAGGGGTCTAGTGCGCAGGCGCAGTCCACTTCGGCCCCTCCCCCCGAAGGCTGGGGAGGGGGCCTTCGCGGCGCCGGGTGACCGGGCAGGTGCTCGCCGGACAACTGCGGCCGGGCAGCAGCTCCGCTTGGGGAGGGCAACTGGGGGAGTGAAGAGCGCGTGCGGGAATGGGAGTGCTAGTGGCTGTTGAGACGGGGGAAGCGCGAGGGGTTGGGCGGTCCTGCTCCCGTGAAGCATCATGAAGGGCAGCCGCCGCAACGAAAGCCCCCGTTTCCGTGGCAACCAGCTCAACAGGAAGTGACCCCGGAGGACTTTGTGCGTTGGCTCCGCCCCCCTGACTCGCTGTTTAGTGCCCCGCACGCCTCGTCCTGATCGCCAGCCGCTGCTGCGCAGGCGCAAGGTTGCCTGCGGACCTGGGGAAGAGGAGGGCGGCGCGTGGCCGGAGCCCGGTAGCCCTGTCGCTCGGGATACTGCCCGGGGGAGCCGGGCTGCGGGGAGGGGAGGCACTGCCAGCAAGTAACGAAAGAATTAAAGCGCCTCGAGTGGCGTCCACGCACACACATACGTGCATGCACACGCCACACTAAAGACTGGATGCGAAGGCACAAAGCAGCAGAGCCCGGATTTGGTTGACACATGTGAAGCGGATTGTAATATCGTTCAGCAAAATCCGACCTAAGGCCTGTGATGTCATATGGGTCAATAATGCAACTGTTTCCCCAAAAAACTGCCCATGCATGCACATGTACATGCATGTAGTGGTAAACAAACTACCTGTACAGGGGTGTTGGTTGTAGCTGTGTAAGGACACGGGCAGACAAGGTTCTTCGGGTAAATCCAATATCTTTTATCAGACCAACTCATAGTTGGAAAAATTCTTTGCAAGTTTTCAGGTGTTTGTACCCGAAAGCTTGCAAAGAGTCTTTCCAACCCTTTTAGTTGGTCTAATAAAAAATACCGGATTTACCCATCCAAGGAAAGGCTGAGGGATCTGTGACTCTTCAGCCTGAAAAAGAGAAGGCTGAGAGGGGACCTGGTAGCAGCTTACCGCTGCACTAGGGGAGTAAATCAAGGGCTTGGTGAGCAACTTTACCAGGGCACCTGAGGGTAAAACCCAGGAGTAAGGGCCACAAACTTGTAGAAGATCGATTCAGGCTCAACATTAGGAAAAACTTCATAGGGTGTCCAGACTGTGGAGTAAGTTCCCTCCAGGGGTGGTGCAGTTGCCTACCCTGAAGATCTTCAAGAGGAGACTAGACAGTCACCTTGCTGGGGTCACCTGACCCCAGTTGTCTTTCCTGCTCAGTGCAACGCGCTGGACCCGTTGATCTTTCAAGGTCCCTTCCGGCCTTACAATCAATGAAACTTTGTTTGCCTATGTACAGTGTGTGCACACACACATGAATGTACACACTTTAGGACTGACTCATGCAGGGTGCTGTGCCCCCCTGGGGTGCCTCGAGAGCCTTTTGGGTGCTGTGGGTGCCACACAACGTTGGCACTGTGTTATGGCTGCGAACATGATTTTCAAGTTAAACCCAGATATTTCGCCTAAGAATCCACAGTGTTAAAACGTTCTGACCTGTTAGGTTTTTCTGAGTTCTTTGCAACAGAAAAGCTGCTCTATTTTTCTGGACTCCAAAGAAAGTGAGAAACCTAAGAGCTGGCCTTATCTAACAAGTGCCTCAAGTCTGGGGGGGGGG